ACTTACTGGGAGTGAAATGAAACAGAACACTCCTACAGTACACAGCTGAGGCAAAATAACTCTGAGTCTCCCCCCAGGTAGCTGGGCACCCCCCTGCCATACCCCCAAACGTCTATGCGGGGGGGGTCTATTTCCCAGCCAGCACTCATTTAATGAGCTGAACGATGACTGAAAACATGCTTGTGCATGTGTGGGGGTGTTTGTGTGGGACTGCGGAATGATCAAATGAGCTTAACCCAACTTCAAGGCATCCAGCAAGAAACTGCCCCAAGCCCACTCCCAAGATGGGACCATGGGGGGAGGGGAAGATTCTGTCTTGCAGTTTCCCCCAAACAAACATAGAGGTGAAACAAAACAAATAATCAAAAAAGACAGGAAAACAGAAATAGCTAGCACCCTAGACCAAAATGCACAGCATAGATTAACGCTGTATATTTCCACACTCGTATCGACTGGAACGCTGATCTCCGCACAATAGCAGAGCTCAGGCTAGAAGGGTCTGTCGTCTCCGGGAGGCATATCTAGCCTGCAAAAGGCCTCCTTCAGCTTGCTTAAGCGTTTTTATAAACGCGGGGCTGTTTATCTTGGAAGGCTTAGGTGGTGTTTCGTTCTCAGCTCCATCTTAAAGTCATCTATCAGCTACATGCTGGCGCAATCGCAGACCTTAAGAAGAAAAAATAACGCAAAGACGGCACAGTCTGAAGATCTGTGACGACAACAGCGATGGAGAAGAACATTTCAGGGAAGGAAAGTAAAAAAAAAAAAATAAAAAATACCGTTTCAATTATACATTGAGGTTTTGCAGAAAGTGTGCATGAAAACCTTATTATGTACAGAAATCACAGGCGGCTGTGAAATTTAATGGCTTAAGTTATTATCGATGGATGAATGAACAAGGGGAAGGAAACAGCTTTAACTGCGATCATCCATCACCACACATTCCCCCCCCATAACGTCGTAAGTGGCAGAGATTTCCCTTAGATGCAAGCTATGGCTTCTCTTCACCCTCCACTGCAAGCGAATGCTTCAGCTGTGCTTAATGGGGCCATCCATTGGTGAGCTGGATCACAGAAGTTATATCTTACATGCCATGCCATTGGCTGAGAGCTCACCATATGACCTACATGCCTGGCAAACGGAAAAGTGCACTGTCACCTCACACCTCCAGGGTCACCGGTACCCCCGCCTCTTAAAGCACTCACTCTACATCGCCCCCTAGTGTCTGTGCTCAGGTATAATTCACATGAAAAACAGATACATTTTAAAAAGATAAAATAAAAAAAAAATAGATAACTGGCATCCATCTTCTCCACACCCCCCCCCACCAGTCCTGAGCTTGTACTCCTAAAAGGTACACATCCAAATATTTTTCTGAAAGGAAAAAAACTCAGCTCTTAAAAGCAAAACAACGTCTAATAAGTCACAAGTACCCATGGTTTGAACAGACACCAAAAATAACAAAAAAAAAAAAAACTCAGAAACACTCCTCTCTCACGCCGTCCCCGTTTCCACGACAGCAAACTTTTGTATGAACACACTGTGACTCCGGGAAGTATCCGTCAAAAGGTAGGAGATGGAAAAAAAAGCAATCCCTCGTTTTCCGAAAAAAAAAAAACAGGAAGAAGACCGAAAAATCTCACGCCAAGGGCGGGCCAGAAGGGATGGGGAACGGCACTCCTCAAGTCCGCTGAGAGGCGTTTATAATCGACGTGATACTCCTGTGATTCTGAGCAGGCATCTGGAAATAACCACAAAGCAGGAGGATGCCATCAACCTGTGACTCCCGTCCTCTGGAACGCAGGTCTGACGCCGCTCCAGTTCCGCTGAATTCCCGCCGCCTGTGAATTCCCGTGACTGGAGACATCTTCCCAAACTTGCACAGTTGACACACCCCGACATTCCCTGGCACTCACTGGATGTGACCCTCCATGGATCACGGCCACCGTGAGACTTCACAGGAGAGCCGGTCTCCTAATGGTGGGTAGAGTGTGCTTCTCTTCCCAACGTAACTCAGACATTTCCTCGAGAGTGATGCACACCATGGCGGCTGGAGTGACGTTCCGAGCAAAAATAAACAGCGTGACCCGGCTGCCGGGCGACCCTTGGGTTAGAGGGAAAGTGTGAAAGCCCACAATGTGACCTCAACCTCTGCCAACTACTCCAGACTTTCCAAACTCAGTCCAGTCCAGACTCAGTCCTGTCCTAACACAGACCAATCCAGACTTATTCCAGTCCAGATTCATTTCAGTCCATTTCAGATGCAGAACAGTCCACATTCATTTCAGTCCAGACTCAAGCCAAGCCAGTCCAGACACAATCCTGTCTTAACACAGACCAATCCAGACTTATTCCAGTCCAGATTCATTTCAGTCCATTTCAGATGCAGACTAGTCCACATTCATTTCAGTCCAGACTCAAGCCAAGCCAGTCGCAGGGCAATCTGGTCCAGACTCAGTCTAGTCCAATTCAGATTCAGTCCAGTCTAACTTGTTGTATGACACATTAAAGACTAACAGTTGTCCCATCAATGGCATAGCAGCTTTTATCAATAAGTATTTCATTTCAATTGCTTAATTTCAATTCATCTAGGTAAGACCCAGATATGATTGGGGTTGAAAACTACAACTTTTGGACAGATGGACAGGTGTGGATCTCACAGCATCCTCAAAAAAAAAAATCTAAAGTGATCATCTAAGCAAAACTCATATTCTCAACAAGATTGACGATGACCAGGAACTCTGAAGGACCTGTCAAGCAAGTAAGCATCAAACTGACATATAGAGACCCCCCCCAAAGAGAGTATTCAGTTTTTATCTTCATCCTAAGGAGAACTCAGCATATTTTTAGTAAGTTTTTAATCAAACAGGCAGATGTTTGAAAGAAGCGTGAAGATAAGCAGAGGGACATGTTCGTACATCAGGCTACTGCAAGAGATGAAAAGCATACTTTAAATATGTGAAGAAAAATAATGAAATCAACAGGTCGCTGACTCCATTCAAAACAGGCAATTATGAACCTCACAACAAATGCATCAGCTAAATAATCAGACAATTTTACAGTTTTGAAGGTTCAGTAAACTTCTCCCACTTCTAGCAGACAGTCTGTCCCCCATGCATTTCCCACATGTCCCTCTCAGGCGAGCAACCTTCCAGGACCTACCCAGAACCAAGTCCGTCCTCCTGTCCAATACTGCATTCCGTCTCCTAAACACAAAGTCCACTAAACGCCACTTTTCACCGTCTGCACATGAGATAGCTTCAAAAACGACTCAGTCGTTGAATGACACCATCAAATTGACCTAAAATGCAGTACTGGAAGGACTAAAACTTGCGGTTTTCAAAATGAAAGACTTCATTATAAGCAATTGGGATTTGTGATGGTGACTTTTGGCCTGAATCTCCTGAATGGAGTCGTTTTCGAGTTGAAGTCAAAGGGGGAGTGTTTATCAAAAGACAGAGACACAATTCAGGGCTTCAGAGCCTCTATCGGCGTGTTTTTTAAACAGATGGGTCAAGCTACGCAGCAGCAGCCTTGCAGTGACACATCACAATTAATGCTATACCTGCTATTCGTTTTCCTAAACATGCAACGTCCACTACAGTTTATCGTATGAGTTTTTATGGAGTACATTTCTGGAAAGGCAGACCTGCCACCGTAGACCTTTTATGGGAGAACTTTTATAGGATTGCCGTAAAGCAGTCAGGAATCACCTTGACATAGTGTCTCTTTTTGTGGACAAATAGACACCAGCTTCCAGCATGGTAAAATATCTGCTATTAAAACGGGGTAGGTTCTGGACACATAAAACCATTACACATACGGTTTGAACAACCTAACTAGGAATAAAGTTTGTTCCTTTTTAAAAACACTCTTGCTCAGATAAACACATTGAGGAGCAGAGAAACATTAATAAAAACCAAAGTCAGTCTGCTGCAGAAAAGAGCCTATTAGATGGTGAATAATGTCAGAAAAATACTTTCATTGGTGGAAGAAAATACTCTATAAAGGCGCCCAATACCAGCACAGACCCGGTTCAGTCACGAGAATCTCTTCACCTCTGCATTAACATATTATTTATTTAATATATTTAAAACCATGAAGGACATACCAAACAACTGCTATGAAAGATGTTAAAGCAGAAAACAAGCCATAGAGGACAGAAAAGCCACAGTTTGGGTGCATCAGGTAAACATATAAATGATCGTGCCGGAGTAGCGGCGTCTGATTGCCCTTATCTCACGCATTAAATACGATCTACGTGGTCTTGCGGTCTGATCGCCCGCATAAGTCACATCATCGCCTCCTCACGGTCGAGGCTTTACGGACCGGCTATCGGAGCCTTTGCCCGCCGTCTGATCTCCCTTCCTTCATCCGTGCTGTCGTTTTGGCTGACAGCGGCATTCGCACCCGGGGGAGGCATGCATCGATGGTTACTTTAATGAAAATTAAACATCTTTTATAAATCGGACCTTCTGCACTGCCGTGCATGGCGAACGATCCTCATCCGGACCAACGGTACCGACCCAATTTCTCCACCATCTCCTTTAAAAAACGTGTGACTTTCCGTGTAATAATAAAGGTCCCCAGTGTCGCCTGCATGCCACGCCGAATGCACCGCAGCGCTGCCCAGCACCCGTACCGGCGGAAAGCCGAACTACTGAAACCAAACTTAAGTTATTTTTTAACTAAGCCTAGTTCATGGCAGAATGGATCTAAAAGGGATCTAAGGTGGCGTGGAATCGGGGGTCGGAAAACTGCGCCCCCTGAAATGAAAATGATGCAAGCCGGGGAAACAAGGATGCTAACCTATTCTTTTTTGCAATAAACTATTAATACTGATGTTTTTATTTTTCACCACAGGGTGGAAACAATACGGGTGCATGCTGCAAAAGGCACGTCCACATCAAACAGCGCGGTTCTAATTATGAAATGCCCCTTATACGCATTTATAAGGAACTGTTAAGTTGCGATTGTTTAAAATAAAACAAAACCGGTCTTACCTCCAGCGATCGGCCAGTAGCAGGCGAGAGATGCTGCCGCGAAGCTGTTTCTTTCTAACCGGTCCGGCAGCGCTCTCCCAGTCCCGTCAGGACCCTCCAGTTTTACAGCCAAAAAGGGGGGGAGGAGGTACTTTTAAAAGCATAAATCCTATGTCATCCTTTTAAGTACAACCCTTGTTGGGCTCCGCGTATTAAATATGACTGTCGGTCACTATAAAACCCCACTTAGAAGTATCTGTTTCAGCGCAGCGTGGGCGTTAGAAGCGCTTTTATTCTGATGCTCACCCACGGCCTTCAAATGATACAGTCCGGGTCTCTTAAAGACGTCGAGCTCGTTTAGGGTGAAAGTCAAATTGTTAACTTACCAGGTCAATAAGTAGGTCAGCATAATGATCACTCTGTACACATATTACTCACGTCGCACTTCGTGAGATATTCAAACGTGTTATTATGTAAATATGTTTAAATGCATATGCAAAGCAGATATGCAGAATCTTCAGTTCTATAGATTTAAAACTGCCAAAGCATTAGAAGGCAACTTACCACGAAGACTAGTTTCCAACACACCAATCGTGTGTCTTTTACATGTAATATATTTACATGTAAGTATTTGGAAGATGGATAGATGGATATTGATTTTCACTGTATAAATGAAATTATTTTAAATTGTACTTAATATTTTGATGAAAAATCTATGGGAAAATGAGATTATGTTGCTCAGTTTTAGAATAAGCGGCATAACCCATAAGCACGTTTCAGATACACACACAGTACCCGAAATCAGGGCCGTTATTCAAGGACAGCAGTGATAGGATTACCCTGCCAGCCACGGGATTTGAACCTATGACCTTCCGGACACAGATCCTGAACCCACAGAGCTAAACACCAAGCTAGATACCGTTTCAATGCAATCTAGAATTGAATTGCAACCATTAATCTACTGAGCACAACATTTAAACAGTGCTGCTGCACTAAAGAAAAGGAAAGGTTTGACAGGCTGCTAAAATATAAACATCCTGAAAGCCATCAAACATTTTATATTTAACCTAGAGTGCAGTTTTTGTTTTGTTTTCTCCGCCATATTATATATCGCAATTCCTAATTAATAATGACGGCGAGGTACTGCATTTATATCGCTTAAATCATATATGAATTACTTTGACTAAATAAACATCCATTTATCCATCCATCCATCTTGCATAGCCTACACGTTTTGTCCTACATAAATGGGAAAAGGCAACAGTTGTGTCGAGTAAAAATAATCCCAATGGCAAAGACTGAGTATCATTGTACTTGTCTACATGCGTAGGCAGGAAATTATATAGCACTTCTTAAAACTGTTTAGATGTTTTAAATGTAACTTAGCGTTACGACTTCGGATAGATGCGTAAAGTTACACCTTACAGCTCGTCCGGTAAATAAAATATACTATCCGAATATTAAATACTAAAATACTAAATATACTATATTTTCAAAAACGGGAAACTTATTGAGCGCCGTGTGTTGAGAGAGCAGCTGTCATCTTCTAACACGCTCGGTTTGCGCTGCTCTTGGTCGGCGATGAAGCCTGATGTGGTTTTTCACTTCAGTCAGTTTGATGTAATCGCGAAATTCCCCTTAAAAGTGCGTGTAATTGTGCAATATCCGTGTTTTTCTTACAACTGTGTTAACTGTTAAACTTTTGTTATCCAAGCCAAATATATACACACCAATATATTCTGAATAGACCGTTAATAATGCTTGAAAAGAAAGTGTGTTGTAGGGTAAAATTTACCAGCCTTAGCCCAGGTGTTTTTGAGGCGTGAGTCCTGCTCCTTCGCATAAACATGTTTACTGTTTGCAGGCTGTTATTTGTTTGTTGCGACCCCCAACTAATGTGGTATCCATATTTCTTTTTACAATCCATTTACCTCACGTTTTAAAACTCATTTCCCAGCATGTTCTGTGTCAGTATATTCCCCTCACTTCACTTGTGCAGCTAGCGGTTAGTTTATACAAAGGTTCAATAATGTCAACACGGTGGAACTATTAAACTGATTAGACAGGACGTGGACACCCTGTCAGACAGGAAGTGAGCTCGCCAGTCCTGTACCGACTTTAGCCACAGCTGTTTGCTCTGATGGCAACGTAAAGACCTTTTTATGATCATTCAGCCAGAATCTTCTGGAAGCTTCCATCTTCGTGCACTGTGCCGCTGAATGCTCACTGATACACATACAGGTTCAGGTGTGCAGCTGCAGGTTCAAACCGTGTATTTTCATGGAGCCCCTGAGGGTTGGGGGTTCCTTTTGGCTGCACACTAAAGACATGCAGTCCTTATTTAGGAGGTGCTGAAGCAGCGTGTGATGCTAACCAGCTACGATCTACAGACTGAACTCGTTGGCTATTTATTTATTTATTTAGTGCGGGGGGGGCAACGTGACTTTTTGAGAGCAACAACAAACCTGCCCTTGCAAGCGCTTCAGCCGACTGCTGGCCAACCAATGTCCTCCCTGGATTTCAATGCTAGCCTAGGGGTGTTTATCAGTTTGCATACTTGACCGTTCTTGTATTCTCGCATAAATGGTAGACAACATCTTCCATTGCCGAAGTACAGTTTCATTCCCAAGAATAGAAGTATGGAGGACGGTAAAAAAAAAATCCCTGGAAGTCATTCTTGCCCAGCACCAGATATCAAGGATACATCGGTATCATTCTCTCCAACGAGAACAATCCCATGATTCATTGCATCCCAGCTCGTTCATGAGCGGCAACTTAGCAAGAACGCTCTTGGCAAGAGCACAAGTATGTTCTTTGCATTTTTGGTATTGATAAACATGATAGCGCAGTAGGGCTCATTCCTGAACTTCCCATAAGACTGGAATACTGCCTGTTAGGCGTAAAAACACCCAAAATGAGGCCCAAAACCTGCATGCCTCGCCTGCCGGGCGTCTGTGGGAGGCACAGAAAAGAAGCTTTTCACTTTGGGGAGACTTTCCCTCATGGTTACTAAGCAACTGCTAAATGGGTTGAAAATTAGAACCGTAGTTGTCAGGCAAAAGCTGCTCTAATATCCTACACACCACAATTATTGCACTTCTCAGTGTTAAACGCAAAGGGCAACTGATGATGCTATGGCCTATTGATGAATACCAACAATAATATCATTACAATATTACATCACTTTGTTAAGTGTTTCATTCGATGCTAATTCAGATGACCCAGTAGCCCCACAACCCCAGGGTTGCAGGTTCAAATCAAACTGGTGTTTTGCATTTGACAAACAGTGGATTTCTGAGACTTCCGACAATATTTTTCTGTGTTAAAATGTGTTTTTTTCAAGAAAAGTGGCCAGAATTTGGTTGTACCAGCAGCAGTTAGAGTGTGGGTTAGCACATTTACGCTGGGAGGTTGTGTGGTCACAACCTACTAGATCAACTGCTCTCTCTGTAAATCTTTCATGTATAAACTGGCCATGGAAAAAAGGGTGCAGTTTAGATAACATTAGAAGATCTGAGCATATAATAATTTATAATTCTTGCTCAGAATTAATAATTACTATTGTTTATTGACACAACAGCAAGCAACCTTGTGATTCATTCACATAAGATTTAATGTATCTGTGTAACAGATGGAATTCACAGCTAAACAGATAACCATGCAGCACTGACTGGCTAACAGTTTATTCTCTGGGTGAAAACATCTTGACCAGATTATCACTACAGGGGGCGATGGAGTGAATGGGGCAAGGGCCTTGCCGATAACTCCTCATTCTGAGAGCATTACACATACACAAATTAACACTCGACCTGTAATGTAAAATGCCAGCTAACCAGATTTACTATCCATATAATGATATGCCTGAGTTACATTTAGCAGAGACTTTTATCCGCCCTGTTTATTAGAGAAAGCGGGTCCAGAAAGTTCCTGCTTTCAAATGGGGATTGAGGGCCTTGCTCAGGGTCCTAAAAGTGGAATCAATCCAGGCTTTAAACCAGTGACCTTCTGATCACAGACTCAACATCCTCACTTACTGAGTCACACAACACTTCCAAAAGAGCTGAGTGAAGACTAGTAATCACTGCAGCCCTTGAGGGCCACCCACCCGCTAGAGCCCAGGGGTTTGAAGTTTTGTGGTTTAAGATCTTGGGAGTGTGCGATGCGTTGGAGGCCCATCCTGGGTTATTCCCTAAGTCTGTTCATATTGGTCATTCTGATGTTCAACAACTGCAGGTACGGTCAGGTACTCAGATGACCTATCAGCAAGGTCTTAGCTCCTGTTCGTGTTAAAGTAGCCCTTTCACATGATTTGACTACATAAGTTAGATGTGACAAGTGAGCATGCTGAGGTCACCTTCTCGCAAAAAAAATAACTCCACAGGTCAAGTAAAGCAGTTTGACCTGAACCAGCTAAATGAAAATGATTGATTGCACTAGGCGGACTCTTAAAGGTCTTGCCAACTCAATTAATAATGTTTTATTCTTGTAATTGCTGTGATTACATTTATTAAATTATTTCTAAGTGTTCTCCTGGATGAGAAGCTCTTAGGAAAGGGGCACACTTATCAGCTTTTAAGGTCAAAGGTTTCAACACCAGAACCACCAGCTGTGAATCATTTATTACAAGCAATGTCCACTATGGAGGAAACGCAGGCAAACAGTTACCAGAGCAATTGGGGGGAAGGGGAGGGCAAGAGAATAACAGTGAAGTGATTATGCTAACTCTGGGTTTTAAACCAACCTCCTTCAGATCCCAAAACCAGCATCTAAACCCACTGAACCACACACCGCCCTTGTGAAGAGCCTGCGAGGGCCGTGGCAAGCCGAGTAGGTCCATCTGAAGCTGACTCTGGTAGACATAGAGGCATCATTCAGGGACCACCCAAATCCATGAACCGGGACTGAAACAAAGACGAGATGTTGAGAAACGTGTTCTTCAGTTGAGCGACCGCTGCAGCCCATCCTGCGCCTGTTTTCTTCTTGCCCTCCTCCTCGGTACCCCCTTCCCCCGCACAGCCGGCGGTGTCAGTGTTTAGCAGATCAGTCAGACCACACTCCCAGATATCAGCTTGGGGGATAACGTGTGAGTGTGTCCTGATGAATTGGCTGCTCACCATTCCTGGCAACTTCCTTATGAGTGGGAGGTGTGTGGCCTTTGTACTTGTGATCGGAAGGTCGCTGGTTTGAATCCTCTTCATACCAGACTAGTCACATCTCAGGTGGGCCAGTGACCAAGACCCTTAATCAAACCCCCCCCCCCTTTCAAGGGTCCTGGATAGACGGCTGACCCTGTGCT